AACCGAACAACACTAGTTCCATTTAACAAGCAACGGAGTTTTCATTGGTGACACACAGGATCCTCTCCACGTCTTTCAGGATGCTCACCTTCACCGCCCCTGCCATTCTGTACTACTCTAATGAAAATACCCGGCCGCTAACTCCGCTGGCATTTCAAATCAATTAAAAAATATTTTTTGACTGTCCTGCCGCTGGAAAACACTGAGGTAGATTATAAGCTGCTGTCAATGTCTGAGCTGCAACGGCACAGAGACCCTTCGTCTGTGAGGCTGACAGCTGTCAAAGCCTGACCTTTCCCTAACTGGTCAACTGAAGAAGCGTGAATAGAATCTGTTTAACCTTACCCACTCACCTTTAATGTGACACCAGGGTAAGTCAATCAGCTCAGCAGTGGGAGATCCAAAATGGTCCCCACAGACAGCAAGCCTTACTTATTCATTTCTAATCCTTCCTAGAAAAATCCAAGCTATGTACACTTAAGTCCAAAAAAAAAACACTACTTTTCCTTTTTGAATACTTCATATTACGGCTTTCTGTTGTGTGTCATAAAGATTCAAAATCTACTAGCCAATGGAAACCCACCTACAGACTACAGGAGCCAGAGTATCAGAGCAAGGCCACAGCCCAAAATAGAACCCAAGAACCCCAAGATCCAATAACTGGCCCCATTTGCCTCCTCCAATTTTTATCAAATAAAAGTACATCAGCCATGGCAAACTGAACAAAAGCAAAATTCAAGAAGAAAAAACTATGCAAAGAAACTAATTATCTATTTTTCTGAATGTCTCCATCAAAGCAAACACAGTGCAATTTAGTTGGGACACTGCATTTCCTCATTACATAAAGACATTTATTTTACAGAAGGGGATCACCATAAAAGTCATTGCCATTTTAATGAAACCGAAAAGATAGAGAAAGGCACACAAACACACTTAACTTCCGGTTACACTCTAAGATGTGTGTGCCAGCTGCCCAGCCTCTGTGACGTAGAAAACCCCCCGCTCTCCACTCGCACCATGTCCTTCAGCCTCCACTGAGGCAACAGAACCGAAGCAACACCACATACCAGCTTGTGTGACAAATGCTAGTAACATTTCCCTAGCCCTTGTTTCGTCCTGAATCTAAAAGCATCACTAACAACTGTTTTAGTAAAATAGTTTTCAAATGCAAACCAAACATTCTAATCAAAATGAGGAAAATGTGCGTGTTTCTATATATTAATGAAATGGTAAAAGTTGGGGAATAAGAAGGGCTATGGGACCTAACTAACGAACAGCACCCGAATCCAAGCCCTGTCACCTGCATCAGAGGCCCTGGGTCAGTACCAGAAGAAGAGGGAACAGGGCTCTGCCCCGAGAGTGACCGCAATCTAGCACAGCAGTGATTTTTCACCAGGCCCCCTGCAATGCTTTCTGACTCCATGAATCCCCACTGGCTACAAACACTTGATCATGTGTTACATTCTACAGTGTTTATTGCAAAAACAAAAGGCATAATGTTTTTCGCACTGTACACACTTCAGCCGGAAGTTCTGACAAAGCCCCAAGGAGGACGACCTCTATCCTATGCCCCCGCCGAGAACCTCGGAACTAGGAAAACCAAGACAGTCACACAAGAAGCCAAAATTACTGTTCCTTTTAGAAACTGTATTGGACACCCTCCCCTCCATTGACATACAAATGTGGATATTACTTTTCTCTTCAGTCAATCTTTCTATCCATATTTCTACATCTTAAAGTATATTTATTATAATGCCCCTCAAATGACCTGCAGAATGAAATACAATAAAAAGAAAAGAAGGAAGAAAACATTATAGCAAACTGACTAGCAACCACAGTAATAAGAAAAACCAATTGTGACAATAAACACTAGTTAACAGTACAGTAGATCCACCAGGCAGGGTAGCTCAATTGGTTAGGGCATCATCCTATTCACCAAGGTTGCAAGTTCAATCCCTGGGAAGGTCACATACAAGAAACAACCAATTGCCCTGACCAATGTGGCTCATTAAGTTGGGTGTTATTCTGTAAAGCAAAAGGTCACCGGTTTGATTTCCAGTCAGGGTACATGCTTGGGTTGTGGCTAAGTCCCCTGTTCGGGGCGTACAAGAAGTGGGTGATCAATGTCTCTCTTACACAATCAATGAATGCAAAAATAATGGAACAACAAATCAGTGTTTCTCTCTCTCTCCCTTCCTCTCTAAAAATCAATAAATTTTTTTTAAGTTTTTTTAAAGTACAGTAGTCCCCGCTTATGCACAGTTTTAGTTACCCACAGTTAACTGCGGTCCACACACAGGCCCGGCAGAAGTAAGGCCTGTTTGGGTGTGGTTGGTAGGGTAATGATATGGGTGTAGTAATTTCTAGTTTTAATGTGAACATTTAAATCCACTAAAAATTATTAGAATAAACAACTTCCAAGCTCAATATATAAAAATCAATTGGATTTCTGCACACTAGCAGCAAACAGTCCAAAAATAAAATGTTAAAAAAAAAGACTATTTACAATGACATTAAAAAATAAAATACTTAGGTATCGATTCAACCAAAAAAAGTAAACTATTTTGTATAAGAGAAATGTTTTAAATCTTAAGAAAAAGAATAATTTTGCATGTTCATGGATCAAGAGACTTAATATTAAGATGGATACATTCTTCAAACCTACATACACAGTCTCTGCAAACCCAATCTGATTCCTGGCTGGCTTACTTGTAGAAACTGACAAGTTTACCCTAAAACAAGAAACGGCAAGGTACCCAGAGTAGTAATCTTCAAAATAATCAGAATAATCTTCAAAAAAGGACAGTTAAAGGACTTCCACTCCTCAATTTCAAATCTTACTGCAAAGACAGAAAGTAGATTAGTGGCTGCCGAGGAATGGGAGAGTGAGAAATGAAGAGTGACTACTAACAGGTACGAGTTTCCTCTTTAGCGCGATGAAGTGTTCTAAAATGAGGTTGAGGTTATGGCTGCACAATCCTGTGATTATACTAAAAACGAACCAACTGTACATTTTAAAATGATGAATTTCAAGACATGTGAATTCTATCTCAATAAATCTTTTATTTATTTATTTGTTTGTTTGTTTATTTATTTATTTCTCTTTAGAGGTGAAGGGAAGGAGAGAGGGAGAGAAATATCAGTGTGTGGTTGCCTCTCATGTGTCCCCTACTGTGGACCTGGCCTGCAACCCAGGCATGTGCCCTGACTGGGAATCGAACCATGATCCTTTGGTTCGCAGGCCTGTACTCAATCCACTGAGCTACACTAACCAGGGCTATAAAGCTATTATTTTTTAAAAATTGTACTTGTGATCTCATTTATATGTCGAATTTAAAAAAGCCGAATCATGGAAGCAGAGAGTAGAATGCTGGTTGCCAGGGGCTGAGGGTGGAGAAAATGAGATTTTAGTCTAAGGATACAAACTTCTAAGCATGCGAAGAATAAGTTCCAGGGATCTACACACAGCACAGTGTTACAGTTAATAACGCCGCACTGGGTACTAACTAGAAAGTGGCTATGACGGTGGGTTTTAAATGTTCTCACTATAACAACAAAATGGTCACTATATGTTAGGTGAAGGATGTGTTAACTAACCTTATTGGGGTAAATATCAATTACACCTCAATAAAACTGGGGGTGGGAGATATACCACGTGATACTTTTTATAATAAGGTCAAAACCAGACAATTTATGAAATTAAAAGTAAGGACAGTGGTTACTGTTGGGGGGGCCGGAGGCTGTGAATGGGAGGAGGCACAAGGGAGCACAGGGTTACAGCAATGTTCTACTTCTTAAACTTGATAATGCTCACTTTGTGATACTTCAGAGCTGTACACTTAATAATCTCTGCAATTTTCTGTATATGTTATACATTAGTTTTTAAAGTTTTTTTAAAAAAGAAACACAGTTTTCACTTTAAAAAATTACACTTGCTGACATGTTAAGGTATTCTAGGATAAAGAATAAATCTCAGAACACTTTTTCCCTATGGCATAATAAAATCAATAATGGTAAAAATGGCAAAAATATAAATTATTATTAGTATGAAAGGATAAGTTGACTGTCATTGATATTAGCAATACTGAACTTCACAAAGGATCAAATTTAAAAGTAGAGAAAGCATGGGGTCTGGGTGAGAAGGTCCTGACCTTGACACCGTTCTAGGCCTGGGCAGATATTAGAAACCTCCCGGGCTCTTCTGAGAAGTGAGAGAAGCTGTGGCAAGTGCCTCCCAAGCACTTAATAGACTCTAAATGTCTACAAATGTTTCTTTACTTCTCTCCATGCAGTCTCTTTCTTTCCAACTCAGTAACCCACACTGATAATTACATCTTCCACTTCTCAGATAGGATGTCTTTCATCTACTCCAAATTTTATTTTACTTTGGCCTCAAGTCACCCATTCTAACACCCAAGTAGAGTCTCAACCAGTCCTACTACCATCTGACTGCTCAAGTTTTCCCAGGCAGAGCCATTCAGCCTTCCTACCACAGCACAGAGCCACCTAAGGATACAAATTCTATTCCCTCCCACAACGCTTATCCCCGCTAACCATGCTCCAGACACTTCTTCTTAATATCATTACTATATGTAAGTCACGCAGGTTTGTCTGCAGTTATTTTCAAAACTATTCAGAAACTTTACTGACAACTAAGTTTTAAAGTATGAACCGCCCCCTGAACTTCATTATTGGAAATAAGTACTACCACTTCTTTCTTTAAAACGTTATTAGCTTTAAATTTTTGACCTAGAAGATTCTGCTTAAAGATGAACTTTTATGTAGCCACTTAACACGTAGTTAAGAAAGCAACTAAACGTGAGGCCTTGGTGGTACTAAGCAGCCCTTTTCTTCCAGTCAAGGAAATGAAAGCTTCATTGTCATGTGAGACAGATATCCATTCTCTGAGGCAGACACTTGGGGAGAAGTTAAGAGAACAAACTCCACACACCAATACTAGCACTTAGGGAGGGATGAATGGTGAATGCAAATATACTTACAGCCTCGAACTGCAGATGACTGTCCTTTAAAAAATCTTGAATTTTGTCCTTGGGTAAAATATTGAATCGAAATCGAAGGAGATCCATTTCCTGTTGAATGAACCAGCGTCTAAGATCTTCACTGAAATGGAGACAGGAAAATTATAAGTATAAATGATATGTTCAATGATTACTTTAAAAGTCCACTGATTGTTAAATCCAAGAAGTTTCTATGAAACAATATTCAAGCACGACCACGACACCAGTGGACAGAACTGGAAAGGACTCTATTGTGACAAAAGGTACGAACACCGAACACCGCAATCTCCCAGGATGGAATATGGGGAGATGGGTGCAATGAACAAGACGGTAAAAGAATTAAACACAATATACTTCAAGCCTAGCTTCATTATTATCAAATAATATAAAATAGTTCACTGCACTTAATGTAACTGCAAAACAGTCGATTACATTACAATGTAGGGTATTACTTGTGCCTAAGGTGGTTTCATCAATGCCAAATAAATTCAAATTTTATACAGGTAACTTTATCTTTGAACAGATTATGATCAGCTAAACTTCTCAATATAACCTTTGCTTACAGCTTTATTGTTTATAATTTCACTAAATTTAAGATGCACAGTATACCTCAATTTTTTAAAAGCCAACACACAAACACTGTATATTAATTTACAAGACAGATCCATAATCAGCATTATCGTTGTTATAATAACTATGCTACCACCTGTAAAATATGATTTAGTTTTTTCCAAAGTGGATTTCACATTGTCAGCAATTCACTCACTGCATAAATTGCATAAACTACATATTCTTTTTTACAAAAGAAAATCTCTAGGACCAAAGCTGGTCAATAATTTCTCAGTTACTATCTTGGGAAAGTAAGCAATACAACATTCTCATTTGATAAACCTATTAGTAAAAAGAAACAGAAAAAAAACTTATAGGTATGTTATTTTGCCAAAATTAATACAGGGAAAAAAAGTTTAAAATAAAAGACAACTCACTGCTTTCCCTCTGGGTGGCACTATTGACTTAGAAGAAACCAACTACTGAAGGAAAATATCTTAATTTAATGGTCAGTAGCCCGTACACCTCAACTTCTAAATACCAATATCAAAATCAAGAGTGTATTTGATTTATCATTTCTCATACATATTAGCACTTCCTTTTGGAAATAAAACTGTATAAAAAGTCCTCTTCTTAATGAAATCCTTTCCAATTTTAAATCACAAATGAAGAGACTCTTCCATAAAGGTAAAGTTTTCAATAGGCAAAATTTCGCAATAGGATTTTTTTGAGGGGACACTATATAGTAACAATTCACTGATATGTGAACCACTGGTTTCTGGTGCTGTTCTCAGGTTTCCTGTGTTCAGTACAATACATGTTAACTTTCCACACATGATTCATAACCCGAGACATCAGATTTGACAGGGAGAGTATAAATGTGTACTCACGACTGGCAATACGCGAGGCGCAAGATAAAGTGAGAAATGTGATCTCGTCTTCGTGCTTCATATTCGTTTTCTAGGTTTTCCTTAAAAATAATGATATATGAATAAAATAAATGCATTAGAATAGTTAGAGATATAAAGAAGTACTGAGTCAGCATAAGCTGATATAAAGTAAAAATTTCAAAGGCACAAATTTTACAATATGCTTCCCAGGATAATTACCATTTTACTTAAGTCGGCAATGGGGTGAAACAGAACAGAACTCATCTCAGCAAAACTTCCTGGGTTTGAATCTCCACTGTTTTCTTCCTATCAACTCCTTTTCTCTTACCTTTTTTAAAAAAATTTTTAACCCTCACACAAGGATATGTTTATCAATTTTAGACAGAAAGGGGGGGGGGGTGGAGAGAGAAAGAGAAACATACATTGATGTGAAAGAGAAATATCAATCAGTTGCCTTCATCCACTACCATACACACCTGGGCAGGAGATCAAACCCACAAGCTAGGTACGTACCCTGACCGGAAATCAAACCCACAACCTTTTGGTATACAGGACAACACTCCAACCAAATGTGCCACCCAGCCAGGGCTTAACTTTCTTTTTATCCAGCATATACCCAAGGTATTCAATGTTTCAATAACTTCTTACAACAACCCTCAACTTCTTGCCTTTCAACCTTCTGGCAAAACCTAGATTCTAAATTAATCTATAGCTATACTCTGCAGTCCTATTCCAAAATGCTGAGAACCTCTACAGAAAAAATATACAACTTTGGGAATTTGGAGTACTGAAACAATCACATCCTCTAACCTCAGCTGGACCTTTACCAACACTAAAGAAATCTTATCAAGTCCAAAATAGTAAGGGCAAACATCTTGCACACTTACGAGGCACCAGGCACTATAAAGCATTTTTAATGGATTAACCCATTTAATCCTTAAAAAAAAAAAGCCCTATGAGGTAGACTCTGCTGTCTATCCCTACAATGTCCTCTCAAAGTATCTTCAAGCTCCTCTCCTCTTCTTTCTCTCCTAGCTCTTCCTGCTCAGCTTATGTTTAACTATGTCCTGTCACATAAGTGTGTGTACATATACATACGCGTGTCTTCACTTCCCCTACAACTTCTTCCACATTCAGCTGTATTTCTCCCCGTCCTTCCAGCTAAACATCTTAAGAGAACATACATTCCATCTCCACCCCCTCAGCCCCCCCTCCAACCCGTCATCTCTGGGGCTTCTACTGTACAGAGTGCACCCCGTTGATAAATTGATGGATCCCATATAACTCATCTTACATGATCTACCTGAAGCTTCTGAAACTGTTGGAATCTTGGCTCCACCATTAACTGTCTCCTGACAGCACCACCTGATAAGACTGTTGTCTGGGTCACATGGGTTAATATAAGCAATGCACTTAGGGCAAACAAGGAAGCACAGTAAGCATGACAGAAACGTTTGCTGTTGTCATTCCCATAATATCACTATTAGTATCATTTATTGATTTGTATCTTAGGACTCTGTTTCAAATTAATTGACATAGTACTTCACATCTTGATAATATCAGCTTTTTTGAAAAATATGTATGGTGAACATTTCCTACAGTTTGATGACTGCAAAGATTTTTGAAATGTTTTTTTAAATGCACAGTTTTATAGAGTCAAATCTTTAGACTTTTTTTCTTTGTAATTTGTTATGTTTAGTTTCCTCTCCTATCCAGAGATCAGATATTCGTGTAAATGTCCCTATGGTCTGTGCTTTAGGCTTTTTCAGGCAGTTCTCAGGCTTTCAGGTGTCTTTTTGAGGGCCAGGCAGCTCCTGCCTAAACCCCTCCATTCTACTTCAGCCTAAATATGGGCATTACTCACATCCTGGCCTCACCTTTTCTTCTCATCCCCATATGTTCCCATAGCACTCTCACCTACTCCTGATAACTCCATCATTCCTCTCACTTCTATACTCCTACTCCAGATGTTTCATAAGTGCAGAGCTCTATGTCCACCAAACATCTCCCCAGGCACCTGAAGCTCATGTCTAGAACTAAACTCAACATCTTCCCTCTAAGTCTTGCTTCTCCTCCTATGTATCACATCTCAAATATCACCACCATCCACCTTATTGTCCTAACTAGAAACCAGGGTGCCGTTCATAACCCTTCTCTCTTTCTTCTTCCTGCAACCAGTCACTAAAATCCTTTGATTCTACCTCCTTACTATCTCTTCAATCAGTCTTCTTCTCTCCATTCAACTCACTGTCATTTCCAAACTCCTACCTGGTTTTCCTCCTATCAGACATGAGCCTATTGATGCACTCTTAACAGTCATCTTCCCCAAATGAAAATCGAATTGCTTCCATCGAGATACAATCCCAGCACCATCTCCTATGGGAAGCCCACCCAAACCACCCCACACCACCCCCATCTGAAATGGGTGGTTATCTGTGCCCCTGGAGTTCTTCAAGCACCTCCAGTGACGGCACTCATCACCCTGCTTTGCACAGCGTATGCATGGTAGTGTCTGGAAACACGCAGTGGACAGAAACCAGGAATGCTACTGAGCATCCTACAATGCACAGAACAGACCCTGCAACAAGGGGTTATTAGCATTCCCAAAATGTCCACAGTCCCACAGCTGAAAAACCCTGCCACGTGACAATCATCTTACTGCATGTCAATCACCCCTAGGAGACTGCATGTACCTTCAGACAAAGTCAATGCTATATTATTCATTACGAAAGCCCTGTGCCTAACACAAGTGCCTTCCCATAACTGATACTCAGTACATGAATATACAGAAACTGAAGGAACCCTTTTTCTTTCACTTACTCTGAAAGAAAACTTGACCTTTCGAATCTCAGCCTCCAGCTTACTCTGGTATTGCTCACTTCCTTTCACATAGCTCACACCAAGATGTTCAACTGCTTTTAGCACTAAAAAAGATAATTATTTTAATAAAAGAAAAACATATAAATACAAGATAATCATTACAAACTAAATTCAAGACATAAAATCTATGAATAGCAATTCCACAATTATTTATAGAAGATGACAAGTTGTAACAGTTATTTTTTGCAAGTACAATATATATGAGGTCTGTCCAGAAAGTATGCAGCCATGTACTGTGAAAAATAAAGACACTTATTGAAGATAATACAAGATACAAGAAACACTGTACATAGTACAATGATGACTCAGTCCCCTTCAAAGTAAGCACCTTAGGACCTCACACAGTTCTCCCAATAGCCATCAGCTGCCCCTTCATAATTTTCTGAATCTCATCGATGGTCTGAAATCTCTTCCCTTTCAAAGAAGACTTTAGTTTTGGGAAAAGCCAGAGGTCATAGGGCACCAAATCTGGGCAGTAGTGGGGGCTGAGTCACCTGGATGATCTGATGTCTCGCCAAAGAACTCTGCATGAGACATGATACATAAGCAAGCACTTGTTGTGATGAAGCTGCCAATCACCAGTTGCCCGTAGCTGCGGCAGATTCATTGCTCTACAGACTCAGTCACTTTTAATGCAATGGCTACACAGTACACATGCCCACTCAAGGTAGTGTACTGCCCCCAGTGACTAGAACAGTAAAGTCGTCATTGTTCACACATGAGCATTCCAGTCCACTCTATCTGGCTGCCAGGTTACATCGATGTCGTGCAAACCGTTCTCATTATATTAACAATGGCTGGATTTTTTTCAGACAGACCTTATAAATTATATGTTTATAAGAGGATAACCTCCTTTCATGTGCAAAAAATATCGACATCCCGCAGCATAATCTAATACCAAAGATTATCAACCAGGGGGAAGGGAGAAATGGTGATAATCACTGCTATACTGAGCCACTATGGTTGAGGAACAGAAAAGGAGAAAAAAAATTAAGCACCCCTTGTTTGCATCCCTCATGTGGAGCTGCCTTTTGGCAGTCTGCTTCATTTACTCCAGACAGACTTATCAGAAAGATAGCCCTTGCTTTCTGATGAAGCAGAGAAAAAGACACAATAGTGAAGAAGCAGAGCCCTCCAAACACCCACTGAACCACTCTGAATCTTGTTTAAAAGTTCCTAAAGCCCATTGTCAATCCTTCTTCAGATGGATTTTTTCTTCCCTTGATACAAAAAAAGAGGTATTCTGGAATTCAAGAATTAAAAACTTCTCAGATAAATCCTGAACATAAACCCATGCCCTACCAAAGCAAACTAGTTATCTTCCTCCGAGTCCTGCTCCTTTTCTGGCTAACACCATCTCTACTAGCTTTAGCCACCACCACCACTACAGTCTTTAAAATATTAAATTATGATTTTTATTTTGGATACCTGTCACCATGTACTAGAATACAACTTTGTCAAAGATGAATTACATTATTCATCTCAAAATCCCTACCACCTACAGTCCAGTGGACTCCATAAATATGAACTGTACAGTAAGTAAATGAATAGCACACTCTCAAATACTTTTTGAATGGACTGCTTAATAATGGAAATAAATTACCATACTCAGTCTCACAAAGTATAAGTGAGGTGTTCATGAATATATAAGTTCTGATTCAATTATCACTCACATTTAACTCTGTCAATAGCCAAGTTTTCAAACTCCATCAAAGATATGTTTTCAGTGGGTGGCTGCAAGTAAAACTGAAGGCTGTGAGGGTAGCAAGCATTCCCCTGATCACCTCCCAACTTCAGTTTCTTCCTCTTTCCTTTAGAAAACTCCATCGTTACCTTGTAAGAAAGCACATGAAAAGGTCGAAATGATGGAAACTGGAGTTGAATAGAAAACAACCAAAAACATAAACAAAAAACCAGTAACTCTACACACACAGGGGGGAAAAAACTGAAGTTTAAGGGCATATCCCTGGGCATGTCCTTCTGTATTTTCCAGATTTTCTACAATTCACCTGTAAGAACTTTGTAATTAGTTGCATGGGGGCGGGGGGAAGGCGGTGTTAGAGAAGACGTGCAGGTGGTCATCCTAATTTCCATCAACATGAGTCCGGTGATGTTGCCTGCTCACTCTAAGTCTATGTACCACAGTCCTTAGACTCAGACGTCCCAGGAGTTAAGATGAACTTCATACCCGCTGCAATCCCGTACTCGTGGGAAAGCGTGATAGGTTCTATATAGTAAGAAACTTACTGGACCCGGTCCCGCTACTTCCTATCTTAATGACCCGTGGAAACAAAACTGTCTTGAATCCAGTCTTTCAAAACTCCTTGAAGGGAGCATCCACAAGTTCCTTATAAAAATCCCCACCCCAGATCCTTCCCAGACCCCCTCCGGTGAAGTTGTCTCTACTGAACCAACTCACAGGCATCTGAGTCTCTGCCCCAAACAACCAACCCAATACCCAATACCGGAGCCGGATCGATCCTTCTGCTCCCACTGCCCGCTAAGTGCTTTCCCTTCCTTCTCCACTTACGATCCTCAACACCAGCATTGCTATCCCTCCTAAATCCACGGGAACGTCTCTTACCTGCAATGACACCAAAAGTGCAGAGACGCAAACGCCCACCGCCGGCTTTCCCAGGTGGCGGGAGATTTCACTGAAACTGGAAGCGGAAATGACTGACAGAAGTCCCGCCCCCGAACGTCCCCGCGCGCACGCTGCGCGGGCCCGAGGCGGCTAGGGGCGCGCGCCCGAGAGCCAGCAGGATGGGAGGTAGGTAGTAGCTTTTAAAGGTGGACATTGCGCTGCTGGAATGCTGATAACAAAAATTCCCACAGCCGAAGAGTCTAATGACAATAATTCTGTTTGGGAGACCAGAAGCGATTCCAGAAGTTGACAATGTGGCGCTTTAACCCACTCATCGCTTTCGATCTGGGGGAGAATGGAGGAAGAATAGGCATTTACTGAGCCACTTTATTGCCCCTGGCTCATTCTTAAGACCTCGTAGTTGTCTTTTTTAAGTACTTTATATTTTATTTTTCAATTACAGTTTACATTCAATATTGTTTTACTTTCGAGTGTACAGCATAGCGGTTAAACAGTCATATACTTTACAAAGTGTCTCCTGACCACATAGAAGCTCTGATTTGCCTAGTTTAATATTTCGGAGATCCCGTCAGGTAAGTGGCATTACTCCCTTTTACAGATTAGAAAACAAGAGCTAAAAGATCATCGTTAGTGTGCCCATCTATGTACAATGCTTATTTTGTTCTTTCTATTGGACGGCAACCTCATCAAGACACACAGTTTTTGTACTGGAAGGCAACCCCATCAAATTCAATTTACTGCCGGCACGCCCCAGGCCGCCCCAACCCTTCCCACAAAGTGAGCGCCCAGAAAAACTATCTGGAATTAACTAGATTAGTGAATGAACGCACACACAGAGAGAAGTCGCTCTGGGGTCTACAGAAATTAGTAAAAATCAGGCTCAGGGGGGGAAAAAAGTAGGGGTAGAATAAGAATGGAAAGCGCTGGAGAGAAAGCGGACATCAAACTGCAGACTCTCGAAAGAGGCTGGTCAAAGCCACACCAGCTCTGTTGTCAGTAGGGTTTTCTAGAGCTGGAAATAAAGCACTCTTGTGGCCTCTAGGAGGCGTGTCTCACTTACAAAAGTGGCCGAGCAAGGCTCTAGTGAAGGCAGTCACTAGAAACGAAGATCACATTGAAATGTTCAAGTTTTGGAAATGCAAAGTATATTGAAACAACACCAAGTATCAACACCTACCTAGCAACGGCCAAACTGTGAGTGGCACTGATTTTGTATCAGGATGTGTTGTTCTAAGTGATTTACATGCCAACTCATTTTATTTGCAATACCACGTGAGGTAGATTCTATTATTAACCAATTTTACAGATGAGGAAACTGCAGAATGAAGAAGTTAAGTGACTTCAAAGATCTCAACAAGTGACACAGCCAGCTTCCAAGTCAGACAGACTGTCTCCAAGCACCACAACGCTAACTATCACACTTATGATAGCTGTACCTCTCTGTAATTCCTCCTTGTATCAGACAAATAACTGATATCATCTGGCCCAAAAAAGATACCTGAAAGCATGAAAACTGCCTGAAAAAATCTAGAGCGCAGACCATAGGAATATTTACATAAATATCTGATCTCTTGATAGGAAGGAAACTAAATATAACAAGTTACAAGGAAAAATCCAAAGATTTGACTTTAAAATTATAAAATTTGCATCTAAAAAATTACGAAAATTTTTTCGGTCATCAAACTGTAGGAGATGTTCACCATAAATATATATCAAAAAAGCTAATACTATCAAGATGTGAAATATTTCAATTAATTTGAAAAAATCCTAAAATACAAATTGGAAAATGAGAAAAGAACAACAGATAACTCATACAAAATAAATAATGATAAAATGTGAAAAAATGTTTATCACTGACAGCAAAGAAATTACTCTCTACAAAATTGGCCCAAATAATTACAGTGAATACTCAGTGTTGGGAAAAGTACAGTACAATAAGCTCACATAGGAGTTTATTGTGGTGTAATTCCAGAGTACAGTATAGTAATGTGTATTATAATCCCTAAAAGAATTTATACACTTTGACCAGATAATTTCATTTATATAAATCTGTCCAGAAATGGACACCCAAATTTGTGTTCAAGGAACTTCATTGCACCATTGTAGGAGTGAAAACCCAGAAAAAAGAATAGATAAATTATGGTATATTCATACCATGGAACATTACACAGCCATTCAAAAAATATTATGTTTTGAAGAATATCAACCCGCCAAAATGCCCAGAATACTTTAAGTTAACAGAACAGAATATATAAAACCACATATGCCATATGATCCCAATTTTGTAAAAAAAAAAAATTACTTGACAACATTAATTTTTTAATTATTTTTTCTAGTAAATAAAAGTACTATATATCCATTGTGGACATTAATATCAAAAAGAAAATCCAGCTACTGTGCTGCTATCCACTGACGGCTTCACCCAGTGACACTGTTAACACTTTGCTTCCAGCAACAAAGCTTCATGGTTGATGAGAACTAATGGAAGTTCCCATTATTTACATTTTTCTGTGATGCTTCTGACTACCATGAGGAGGCTGCCCTCTGCCACTCCTCCTGTCCAAACATTCACTAATCCCTGACCTCCCCTTATTTTACAGTCTCAGCAGATGTTATTCATTATGATCAGAATTTTAGGTGCAAGACAGCCCCTCTGATCTATACTGATTTTTATTTAATTTTTCTTGGCTTTATCCTCAGTCTGGCCTTTCATTGTCCCACCTTTACTGCAAATGCCAATGCCCCTTTCTCTACAATAGTTAATGTCTACTAAATATTTCTTTGGACAGTTAAAAATAGCCTACCACAAACAAAAATGCTTACATTAGTGGCAACTAAGACACTGGCAGTGGAGTAGAATATATGAGCATTTTATGATATTTTTAAAGTTCTATTTTAATCATTCAGCAAACATCTGAAGGCTTCCCACCACATGGTACCAAGGTTTGGTGACTTTATTGCCTACTCATGCCCTTCAGCTTGACAACCAGCTCTTCCCCAAACAAGGCCTTGCACTTCCCTGCCTCTGTCTCTCTTGACAGTGGTCACTCCACATCAGGAGATTTACCCCTCCCTACAGTGAGACTCCCACCTGTCCGTCAGTAGCCACATACTGCCTTCATCCTATTGAAAGTTTGCCATGCCAGCCGGGTCGCTCCTTGTTTACACCCCATGTTCTTTGTAATTTCTGTACAGTACAGTTTTTCTCTACTGGTATTTCTTTACTACATTCGTTCTTAACCTTTTGGGACGATGAACCACCGGATGATCTGATACACACACCCCTCAGAAAAGTGCACCTGCATACCAAGTTTGTACACTACTTCAAAAGGTTCACAAACACACATGCAGCAAGTTAAGCATACTAGCACTACTAGCTTTTAAGGTTTTTTCCACCAATCCTTTTGTTTGCCTTTGTGATCCCGAAAGTGCCTGCCGTACAAAGTATCTTCCAAATTAAAAGGTGAGGTAATGTCGTTTTATGACCAACTCAGAGACAACTGGAAAAAAATGCTCATGCTTAACATTACCAATATCTAACTAAACATGTCTCGTAATAGTTGCCTTTCATCATTTTAAAAATCTATTTTAAACCTCAGAGAACAAAGTCGTCTTTGTGCATAAGCTATTCCAGCATCTTTAATGTTTGCTAAATGCCAGTTTAGTCCTCTACCTGTGAAGGGGGTTTTCCGTACCTACAGGCAATTGCGGTATGAATCTGCAAACTATAGTACCAATTATGCACAATGTTATATGTTTCGGTAGCCATATTTGGTAAATCACTGCAAGCTGTTTAGTGTATTTCATCAACAAAAGTGGGTTCACACGATGGTCACCCCTGGCAACCAAGATGTGCATAAGTTACAAACCCTGACCACACAACTGAGGTAAAAAAAATACATATAAACTAACTGTTACTTCCACTAGGCCATAAGAAGCAGCCCCAAAACAGGAACCACTGTATTGTTTATCTTTGTAACCCCAGTGTCTGGCACTCTGTAAGCCCCCAACAAATATGTATTATACTAACCTGACGTAAAATGTGAGAGAGGTATGAGAGAAGTGATGGGTTCAGCTTGACAATTCAACAGATGGTTTTAATCAAATGTGACTCCAACCTATAAAACTTCAAGTCCTCATCTGAAAATTTCATACACATTCCTTCCAGAATGGCTTGGCTCCTTGGTTTATCCTGTAATAAAGCACAGAGTATCTTCTCTGACAGAATTTCCATGAATCATCACTGCTCAATTCAGGCCTGCCCTGGGCATTACTCAGCTGCAGACAGTCTGTCCCACAGAGCAGGCACCTCAAGATGACTCCACAGTTCCAGGAGTCCTGTCCTGTAGTGTGTCACACTTACAGGTGGGGTTTTAGTTGCCATGCTTGGTAAATCAAAGTGAGTGTCCATTTCACCCTAAAAACCAAAGGCAAGGTATGTTTTTTAACCCGGTGAGGATGCTAGAAACTCTAGATCCTGCCCACTCTGCTTGCCATGGAAAGCAGGACAGGGGGCATTTCCAGCACAGTAGGTACCCATAAAAGCTACTGTACAGCTAACCAGCCACTGGCCCCTCCACCTTTTCTATCCCACTGCCCAGCTCTGGGACATGGCTAGGGAAGACACCTTAAAGAACACATCATTCTTTCTTCCTTTGCTTCAGATTCCTTTCATTAATATAACATCAAGGAGCAAGAGAACTAGAGAAAAATCCTATTCTTAAAGGGAAGGATAGGGAGGAAGGGTGACCCTCCCATTATCAACATTTATTGATAATTTATTGTAATTTATTCCAGAAATACTAATTGAGCGCCTTCTAAATCCCATGCAATGTTTTCTGTGCTGGGGATACAAGAATGATGAAATAGCCCCAAATTTCTGACCTCATCAACCTAATGTTCTAGTAAGAAAGAGAGACAATAAACAAGAGAAGTATATACATTACTATGTTAAATAATGGTTTTCTTATTTATGGGTATTTTTCTAGAGAGAGAGAGAGAGAACATTGATTTGTTGTCAACTTATTTATGCACTCATTGGTCGATTCTTCTATG